CACCCACATGGTGGCTACCAACCATCCTTAACTCCAGCTCCAGGGGAATCCTAAGCCCTCTTCTGACCTCCGTGGCACTGCACAACACAGGTACACCCACATACATGCAGGCAATACACTCATACACATAAAATAAAAATATTAAAAAATGTCACAAATTTAATCATATAATGCTTTCTAACTGTATAGTTTAATTTCCCAATCAGGCTACAGGTTCAAAAGCAAGGACAATGCCCATCACTGTGGGGCTGTGCTCTCATTTAATGTGCTGAAAGAATTCTAACGAGTCCTTGTTCAGCATACATGGAATAGGAACAGAGAAAACATGGAAACTACGGATTGATTTTGTCTACAAACTCAACTAGTGCATATGTTGACATTTTGTACAAAGCAATTTTTAAAAGATTATTTCACATGTATGTGTGGATGCCTTCATGTATGCATATGTACCATTTCCATGCAGGTCCCTCGGAGGCCAGAAGGCAGTGCTAGGTCTCCCGGAAGTAGAGTCAGACAGTTGTTAGCTACCATGTGTGGGTGCTGGGAACTGAATCTGGGTTCTCGGCAAGAGCAGCAGGGCTCTTAGCTCTCTCCAGCTCCCCCCCTTTTTTTTTTTTCAGTCTTTTTGTAACATGGTCTCTCTGTAGCCCTAGCTGTCCTGGAACTCACTTTGTAGACCAGGCTGCCCTTGAACTCATAGAGATCCACCCGCCTCTGCCTCCGAGTGCTGGGATTAAAGGCGTGCACCACCACGCCCAGCCAGCTCCCCATTTTAAAAAAAAATATTTTATTTTTATTTTATGTATATTTGTATATCGCCTGCATGTATGTGGGTGCAACTGTGTCATGCAATGCCGCGGAGGTCAGAAGAGGGCATCGGATTCCCCTGGAACTGGAGTTAAGGACAGTTCGTAGCCGCCACGTGAGGCTGGGACTCGAACTCGGGTCCATTGCCAGAGCAGTCAGTGCTCTAACTGCTGAGCCATCTCTCCAAACCCTCCAGCCCCCTTATAAAGCAATTCTTACAAGTCTATGAAATGTACTCACGAGGTGTCTATGCCGAAAGTGTCAGCAGTGAACCATTTTGTACAGATTCCACATTGCAATTCAACCTCTCCCAATTGTCGACCGTTCTCTTCATCCACAGAACCCGCCTGGGTATCCATCGCTTCTGAAGTGTCCCCAGTGCCTTCCTGGAACCCCAGGACAAATAGTCAAACGAGTTGACCTGACTGCATTTTTTATTTGACCAATATTTTATAAGCGAAACCTAGTTTTCCTCACAAAGACGAAAAAAGATATACTTACTAGTGTATCTTTCCCATTAGAAGATTCTGTCTCCAGACCACCACTTACATCAACCAAGTTTGTATCCCTATAGTGAAAATAAGATGTTTTAAGAGAAAAAAATTTCAAAATGCCTACTCCCAAAAATGCAGACCCAAATACTGGAGAACTTCCCACTCGGTGCTTTTTCAGTTAAGCCAGGGCCAGCTCCGCCTTGGGATCCCTCCCCGGGCTAGTTCAGCGGCTCCAGCTACCAAAGAGCCCAGGGGGCCCGGGAGCGAGGGCGGAGGAGGGGTGCCTGCGTGGCTCACTGGTGCTGATGTGAGCCAGGTCTGGGATGACGGTGGCGGCGGACGCCGAGCGGCCTGCAGGGCTGCGGCTGGGGAAGCCGGGCAGGCCGAGCCGTCGGCCGCGGAGCCGGGGTCAGGGTCGGCACGGGAGCTGCGCGAGCCGCCGGGCCCACAAGGCCGGGCCGGGCCTCCTCGTGGGCCGCAAAGCCTTACCCGCTGGCGGCGTCTCCGGAGCTGGGCTCCGCTCCCGGGGCGGCAGACGGCCCCTCCGCGGCGGCCACCGGCTCCGACTCTCCGTCCTCCGCCGCCGACGCACTGGCGGCCGTTCCAGGGCCAGGGCCAGGGGCCGCAGCAGGACCAGCTCCCGCCGCCGCCATTGCTGCAGCCGCCCGGTTCTCGCGAGAACCCCGCGGGGAAGCGCGCGCTCTGCGTCTTAAAGCGGTAAAGGCCCACGTGTGCCCTCGGCTCGGCTGAGCTCCCGGCGCTGCCCTTGCCGCTTTAAGTACACGAAAAGCCAGGCGGGACTAGGCCCGCAGCGGTTGAGCTGGTCCGTGTAGGGCCGGAGCTGTGGGCTCGTCAGGCTCAAGGCATTTTTTCCCGCTGACGCTGCTGACTGGTAAGTGAACACCACCCGGCGCCTGAGGAACCCCGAGCGCTGGCCGCTGAGGGGCTCTGACGACGCAGGGCAAAGGTCACTAATTAAATGTGAGACACCTTCCAGGGAAAACTGCGCACACCCCACCGTGGCTGTGAGCTGTTGCCCTTGGAGTCCGTTTCCAAACGGGGCTTAGACTTTAGAGTGGGATGCCAGATGCTATAAGCTAGATGAGGCTGCATGCTAGAGTCGGACGCTTCATGACGCTAGATGATAGTAGATGCTGAATGATGCTACAAGCTAGTGTAAGAGTGAAACCACAGAGGACAAGCCAGCCTTCGGGTTGTAACAGCAAGAGGTTTATTTAGTACACAGGTACCTGTGGGCACAAAGTCTCCTCAGGGGGACTTGTGCCCCTCAGGTCGGGTTTGTGGAACTTTTATAGAGCAGAAGCGGGATACAGAAGCAGAAATGCAGTTATTGGTTAGTTTAAACTATTACAAAATGCTACAGGGAGAGCTGGGAGCTTACTTATCACTAAGCCAGATGTCTCAACCATAAAACTTATTTATCAGTGAGTTGGAGATGTCTCGGCCATGAAACTTACTTATCAGTAAGCCAGATGTCTCGGCCATAAAACTTGCTTATCAGTAAGTTGGAATTCTTGACCGGTCCGCGACCTGCCTGAGAGACTTCATGGCTCCTGACTTTTATTTTTTCACTAGATGATGCTCGATGCTAGACGAGGGTGGAAGGGACGTGGGTGAAGCATGGGACAGAAGCTGAGGCTTGTGCGGCAGGAGCTGCAAGCATCCTGTGCGCAACGAGGAAAGGAAGCCCCAGGGCGGAGTCAAGTGCTGACCCGCCTAGTTTAGGCGGGTTTGGTGCTTAGGAAAAGAAGAGAAGAGACTAAAGAATAGAAGAGATGCCAGTAACTGGTCATTGAAATTCCTGCAAGCCATGATCTTCAAACTCCGGGAGATCTGCTCCAGAAACTACTGTGTATGTATGTGTGCTGCCTTGCGTTGTTTTGTTTGGGGATGGACGCTCTGGTCCAAACTGGCCTTAATTTAATTGAACTTTTTGTTTTTTGTTTTTTGTTTAGATTTGTTTTGTTTTTATTTGTATGAGTGTTTTTCCCCCCTCCCCCATGTAGGTATATGCACTACTGAATCTACCTGCCTGGTACCCTAGGAGGCCAGAAGAGGGAGTCAGATCCTCTAGAACTGGCATTTGTAGGAGGTTGTTAGCTGCCACGTGGGTGCTGGGAACTGAACCATGGTCTTCTGGAACAGCAACAAGTGCTTTTAACAGGTGAGCCATCTCTCCAGCCCAGCTTTGAACTTCTGATCCTCCTGGTGGGATTCTGGGATTTATAGGCAAGCATAGAAAGTTTGAGGCCAGCCTGGGCTACATGAGGCCCAGTCTCAAAGAAAACATCACTGTTTCCTCCCCACCCTTCAATCAAGCAATGAAAATCAATTTTAAAAAAGGAAGGAACATCATAAGAAAGAGCAGTGGGGCAGCTAGTGGGGGGGCTTCCCTTCCATGGGATGGGCAGGAGGATGTGGTAGGACCTGAAAAAAACCCAGAAATTTGAAGGATGGCAAATCTTAAAGCCAGGAGTGTACCAGGTAGAGGGAACCTCAAAGAACTTCAGAAAGAAAGGTTTTGAATGCTCTCCCACCTAAGGAGGGCATGTGGTTGGAACACACAATGGTGCCATGCAAGTGACCAGAGATCTCAATTTGCCCACGACTGAGCAGTTCCCCAGGGCATGGGACTTCCTACTGAGCATGGGACAATTCTTGGTAATCACAGGCTGTTGGAGATGCCAAGTTTGAAACCACCTGCTTATTTAGTTTACTGAGATTAGGGCAATTTTCGTGAGCAAGTGACTTTCCCCCTCTCTCATGGGCCTCTTTCTAGTTTCCTGGCATCTGCCCTCCTTCATTCCCACTTAGAAGCCAGTGAGATGGCTCAGCAGGCAAGGGCACTTGCTGCCAAGCCTGATGACCTTAGTTTGAGCCCTCGGACCTCAGTAGTGGAAGGAGAGAACTGATTTCCCTAAATTATCCCCTTCTACATGTGCACTGTGGCATGTACACACACAAAATAAAAAGATAGAAGCTAAGATCCACATATGAGAGAGAATGTGATGTTTGTTTTTCTGGACCTGGGTCACCTCACTTAATATATATTCCAGTTATATTTTCCTGCATATTACATGATTTCATTTTTCTTTATGGCTGAATAAAATTCCATTGTGTATGTGTAACACGTTTTCATTATCCATTCTTTGGTTGCTGGCTGAATCTATTTCCTTGCTATTGTGAACAGAACCGCAATAAAGCAAGTATTTTTGGAATAGGATACAGAGTGCTTTGGGTTATGTGCCAAGGAGTATAGTAGGGTCATATGGTAGATCTATTTTCAGCTTTTGAGAAACCTCAACACTGATTTCCATAGTGGCTGCACCAGTTTACACCCCCAAAAGTCAATTCATGATCCTCATTTCTCATACCCTCTCCAGCACTTTTTATCATTTATTTTCTTTCTTGTTTGTTTTTGTTGTTTTGATACAGGGTCTCCCTGCAGTCCTAACTGGCCTGGAACTCACCATATAAACCAGGCTAAACTTGAACTTACAGAGTTCTGCCTGCCTCTGCCTCCTGAGTGCTAGGGTTAAAGGCAGGCTCCACCATACCAGGCTAGTTTTATTTTTTTTATATTGACATCTTACTGATACTGAATTTGTAATCAGCAAAATCATCCATTAAAGAAACAGAAAAATCTTTTTGTAAAAAATGCAGTGAAAGCTACTAGTTAATAGTAGAAACTATTTGAGATCCTGGACTTAATTTTTTTCTAAAAGATAAACATAAAACTTTCCTTGTCTAAACACTGGCCTAGGTGCCAGAGACAAAGAAGAAAACAAAGACAATGTGCTGGATGCTTTAGTGTCAACTTGACACACCTGGGTTGAGGGAGCCTCAATTGGGGAATTGCCTCTATTGGACTGGCCTGTGGCCATGTCCGAAGGCCATCTTCTTGATGAGTGATGTGGGAGGGCCCAGCCCACTGTGGGTGGTGCCACCCCTGGACAGGTGGGCCTGTGTTGCATAAGAAAGCAGGCTGAGCAGGGACCAGGGGAGCAAGCCAGTAAGCAGTGTTCCTACATGGCCTGTGCTCCAGCTCCTGCCTCCAGGTTCCTGCCCTGAGTTCCTACCTTGTGCTCCCTGATGAACTGTGACCTCAAAGTCACTGTTGGTGCATATTGATAAGTGACCATCTTTAATGAGGATTAACAAGCTCATAGACAATAAATCCACAGGTAGGGTTGGTTTCACATCTTCACTGTATTTCTATTAAAGAAGCAAGTCTTCCTATAGAATTTTCATTGCATTTATTTTCTCAATTCATGGATGTTAAAGATACAATAACAAAAAAGATACTGAAATTTTGTCACTTTTTCTAACTACTACACGTTACCACAAAGTGAAGGTCAAAGCCTGGTCCTCATAGACGCCCCAAGGCTCCTTCCACTGTCTGATTCTCACTCCTTTCCAATCTATATGTTATGTCTCCTTATGTTCACAGATGGAATCACTGAATTGTGTTTCTTCCAGAGTCAGCATTTTGTCTGCCAGAACAGCTTGTTTCACTCTTGCTTTTCCAGGGAAAGAATGGGAAAAGATGTAAAAAGTAACCCGTATCAAATGAAAGAAATAAAGCCCCAAAAGAGACCAGGCTGGAAGTCAGCATGTGAAGTAGCAGGAAGGCTGTTCTCTGCAGGAGCTTCCGTAGAAGGAGCACAGGCCCTGCACCCCTCAGGGGCATTTCGGGAAAACATTCTTGAAGACTGAAGGATCTCTGCTTGGAAAGCCCCAGTTACATTGAGAAACCTCTGGCCGGAAACTGTGTGAAACTCCAACCCCTGCCCAGTGACTGTGCTTCAGTGCCTCAGTTTTGGATATATGGAGAACGCACGGCCCTTTGCTGCTCTTAACGAAGATCTCCACCTGTGGTAAACCTTGTTTCCATGTCATCCTGGTCTAGCCCAATCTAACATTTTCTAACAAAGACCACACATTTGGCATGGAAGCTCATCTCAGCAGTCCCCCTTTGCCCCTTATTTTGTCTCAGACAAAAGCATCTAAGGTCTAATGTGGGAGATAGTGGGTAGATAACCAGCAGCAGAAGCATGGAGCATAGAGGAAAGATGGTGGACCTTACTATCCAACCCAGTTGGTTACTTTACCACCCACTAGCTTAAAATATTATTGAGAGGAAACAGAAGGCATAGTAAGCATCCTATATATGCCTACTATCATCATTACTGAGTGGGCTTTCCCTAAAATAATGTAGAAATTAGACATTAGTTATTCCTATCACTTCTATTTAACATAGTAATAATATTGCTTTACTTTTATTTACATTTAAACGTGACTTTTCTGTTAACACTATAACATTTACATTTATGCTGTCAATTCAGAGTGTTTCTAAATTTATAAAAATGCTCATTTGGGTTGGGTTTTTTTTTGGTTTCTTTTTTGTTTGTTTCTGAGACAGTCTCCCTATACCCCCAGCTGACCTGGAACTTGTACATAGACAAGTATGGCCTCAACCTCGCACAGATCCCCCTGCTTCTGCCTACAGAGTGCACCTGTAAAAAATATTACAATTCCTGTTTTCCAGCTGAGTACTGCAAAGGTAAGACAATGACTTCATCAAGGCGAGAGAGGTGCAGAGCTTCAGGCTGGCTCTGCCAATCCGTCCCTGTTCTAGAATCCAGTCTTATTCCTTGAAGACCTCTTACTTGGCTCTATTTCTGATTCTGTTAGGTGGGACATAGAGAAAGAGCTAAGAGTCCATGTAAGTTTAGAAAGTTACCTTCTGGATTTGTTCAATGAACAGAGTCGTAAGAAAGACAGGCCTGGTACCAAGCAGCCTTGTGCAATAAACCCGAGCTTTAATTCTGCGAAGCAGATACTGTCTCCAGTACTCCAGTTCCAGCTGGGAATTTTTGGCAGGAACACCTGTTTGAGAATAAGGAATAGGTCAGGTACTGAGAAAGTACAGACCTCAAGAAAGCTTTTCTAGATGGAGGCTTTTCTTTTGATTTATTTGAAATCGGTGACTCTTCACTCAAGCATAAAACTGGTATCAGGGTTAAAGGAAGAGATTGGAACAAATTCGGCTTCTAGAATCCAGTCTTACTCATTGAAGACTTCTTACTTTGCTCTATTTCCGATTCTGTTATGTGGGACATAGAGAAACAGCTAAGAGTCCATGGAAGTTTACAAAGTTACCTTCTGGTTCTGTTCAGTGAACAGAGTCGTAAGAAAGACAAGCCTGGTACCAAGCAGCCTTGTGCGATAAACCCGAGCGTTAATTCTGCGAAGCAGATGATACTGTCTCCAGTACTCCAGTTCCAGCTGGGAATTTTTGGCAGGAAAACCTGTTTCAAAATAAGGAAGAGGTCAGGTACTGAGAAGGTACAGACCTCAAGAAAGCTTTTCTAGATCGAGGCTTTTCTTTTATTTGATATCGTTGACTCTTCGCTCTTGAGCATAATAGTGGTATCAGGGTTAAAGGAAGAGATTGGAACAAATTCAGTTTCTAGAATCCAGTCTTACTCCTTGAAGACCTCTTACTTTGCTCTATTTCCGATCCTGTTATGTGGGATATAGAGAAAGAGCTAAGAGTCCATGGAAGTTTACAAAGTTACCTTCTGGTTTTGTTCAATGAACAGAGTCGTAAGAAAGACAGGCCTGGTTCCAAGCAGCCTTGTGCGATAAACTCGACCTTTAATTCTGTGAAGCAGATGATACTGTCTCCAGTACTCCAGTTCCATCTGGGAATTTTTGGCAGGAACACCTGTTTCAGAATAAGGAATAGGTCAGGTACTGAGAAGGTACAGACCTCAAGAAAGCTTTTCTAGATGGAGGCTTTTCCTTTGATTTATTTGAAATCATTGACTCTTCACTCTTGAGCATAAAAGTGGTATCAGGGTTAACGGAAGAGATTAGAACAAATTCAGCTTCTAGAATCGAGTCTTACTCCTTGAACACCTCTTACTTTGCTCTATTTTCGATTCTGTTATGTGGGACATAGAGAAAGAGCTAAGAGTCCATGGAAAGTTTAGAAAGTTACCTTCTGATTTTGTTCAATGAATAGAGTCCAAAGAAAGACAGGCCTGGTACCAAGCAGCCTTCTGCGATAAACCCAAGCTTTAATTCTGCGAAGCAGATGATACTGTCTCCTGTACTCCAGTTCGAGCTGGGAATTTTATGCAGGAAAACTTGTTTGAGAATAAGGAATACGTCAGGTACTGAGAAGGTACAGACCTCAAGAAAGCTTTTCTAGATGGAGGCTTTTCTTTTGATTTATTTGAAATCGTTGAGTCTTCACTCTTGAGCATAAAAGTGGTATCAGGGTTAAAGGAAGAGATTAAAACAAATTGAGCTTCTAGAATCCAGTCTTACTCCTTGAAGACCTCTTACTTTGCTGTATTTCCGATTCTGTTATGTGGGACATAGAGAAAGAGCTAAGAGTCCATGGAAGTTTACAAAGTGACCTTGTGGTTTTATTCCATGAACAGTGTCTTTAGAAAGAGAGGCCTGGTACCAAGCAGCCTTGTGCGATAAACCCGAGCTTTAATTCTGCGAAGTAGATGATACTGTCTCCAGTACTCCAGTTCCAGCTGGGATTTTTTGGCAGGAAAACGTGTTTCACAATAAGGAATAGGTCAGGTACTGAGAAGGTACAAACCTCAAGAAAGCTTTTCTAGATGGTGGCTTTTCTTTTGATTTATTTGAAATCATTGACTCTTCACTCTTGAGCATAAACGTGGTATCAGGGTTAAAGGAAGAGATTAGAACAAATTGAGCTTCTAGAATCCCGTCTTACTCCTTGAAGACCTCTTACTTTGCTCTATTTCTGATTCTGTTATGTGGGACATAGAGAAAGAGCTAAGAGTCCATGGAAGTTTACAAAGTTACCTTCTGGTTTTGTTCAATGAACAGAGTCGTAAGAAAGACAGGCCTGGTTCCAAGCAGCTTTGTGCGATAAACTCGAGCTTTAATTCTGCGAAGCAGATGATACTGTCTCCAGTATTTTTTGTAGGGACACCTGTTTCAGAATAAGGAATAGGTCAGGTACTGAGAAGGTACAGACCTCAAGAAAGCTTTTCTAGATGGAGGCTTTTCTTTTGATTTATTTGAAATCGTTGACTCTTCACTCTTGAGCATAACAGTGGTATCAGGGTTAAAGGAAGAGATTAGAACAAATTGAGCTTCTAGAATCCCGTCTTACTCCTTGAAGACCTCTTACTTTGCTCTATTTCTGATTCTGTTATGTGGGACATAGAGAAAGAGCTAAGAGTCCATGGAAGTTTACAAAGTTACCTTCTGGTTTTCTTCAATGAACAGAGTCTTAAGAAAGACAGGCCTGGTACCAAGCAGCCTTGTGCGATAAACCTGACCTTTAATTCTGCGAAGCAGAGGATACTGTCTCCAGTATTCCAGTTCCAGCTCGGAATTTTTGGCAGGAACACCTGTTTCAGAATAAGGAATAGGTCAGGTACTGAGAAGGTACAGACCTCAAGAAAGCTTTTCTAGATGGAGGCTTTTCTTTTGATTTATTTGAAATCGTTGACTCTTCACTCTTGAGCATAAAAGTTGTATCAGGGTTAAAGGAAGAGATTACAACAAATTCAGCTTCTAGAATCCAGTCTTACTCCTTGAAGACCTCTTACTTTGCTCTATTTCCGATTCTATTATTTGGGACATAGAGAAAGTGCTAAGAGTCCATGGAAGTTTACAAAGTTTCCTTCTGGTTTTTTTCAATGAACAGAGTCCTAAGAAAGACAGGCCTGGTACCAAGCAGCCGTGTGCAATAAACCCGAGCTTTAATTCTGCTAAGCAGATGATACTGTCTCCAGTTCACCAGTTCGAGCTGGGAATTTTTGGCAGGAAAACCTGTTTCAAAATAAGGAATAGGTCAGGTACTGAGAAGGTACAGACCTCAAGAAAGCTTTTCTAGATGGAGGCTTTTCTTTTGATTTATTTGAAATCGTTGACTCTTCACTCTTGAGCATAACAGTGGTATCAGGGTTAAAGGAAGAGATTAGAACAAATTGAGCTTCTAGAATCCCGTCTTACTCCTTGAAGACCTCTTACTTTGCTCTATTTCCGATTCTGTTATATGGGACATATAGAGAGAGCTAAGAGTTCATGGAAATTTACAAAGTTACCTTCTGGTTTTTTTCAATGAACAGAGTCGTAAGAAAGACAGGCCTGGTACCAAGCAGCCTTGTGCGATAAACTTGAACTTTATTTCCGCGAAGCAGATGATACTGTCTCCAGTACTCCAGTTCCAGCTGGGAATTTTTGGCAGGAACACCTGTTTCAGAATAAGGAATAGGTCAGGTACTGAGAAGGTACAGACCTCAAGAAAGCTTTTCTAGATGGAGGCTTTTCTTTTGATTTATTTGAAATCACTGACTCTTTACTCTTGAGAATAAAAGTGGTTAATAGAAGAGATTAGAACAAATTCGGTTTCTAGAATCCCGTCTTACTCCTTGAAGACCTCTTACTTTGCTCTATTTCCCATTCTGTTATGTGGGACATAGAGAAAGAGCTAAGAGTCCATGGAAGTTTACAAAGTTACCTTCTGGTTTTCTTCAATGAGCAGAGTCTTAAGAAAGACAGGCCTGGTACCAAGCAGCCTTGTGCGATAAACACGACCTTTAATTCTGCGAAGCAGATGATTCTATCTCCAGTACTCCAATTCCAGCTGGGAGTTTTTTGTAGGGACACCTGTTTCAGAATAAGGAATAGGTCAGGTACTGAGAAGGTACAGACCTCAAGACAGCTTTTCTAGTTTGAGGATTTTCTTTTGATTTATTTGAAATCGTTGACTCTTCACTCTTGAGTATAAAAGTGGTATCAGGGTTAAAGGAAGAGATTAGAAGGAACACCTCAAGACAGCTTTTCTAGTTTGAGGATTTTCTTTTGATTTATTTGAAATCGTTGACTCTTCACTCTTGAGTATAAAAGTGGTATCAGGGTTAAAGGAAGAGATTAGAAGGAACTCAGCTTCTAGAATCCAGTCTTACTCCTTGAAGACCTCTTACTTTGCTCTATTTCTGATTCTGTTATGTGGGACATAGAGAAAGAGCTAAGAGTCCATGGAAGTTTACAAAGTTACCTTCTGGTTTTCTTCAATGAGCAGAGTCTTAAGAAAGACAGGCCTGGTACCAAGCAGCCTTGTGCGATAAACACGACCTTTAATTCTGCGAAGCAGATGATTCTATCTCCAGTACTCCAATTCCAGCTGGGAGTTTTTTGTAGGGACACCTGTTTCAGAATAAGGAATAGGTCAGGTACTGAGAAGGTACAGACCTCAAGAAAGCTTTTCTAGATGGAGGCTTTTCTTTTGATTTATTTGAAATCACTGACTCTTCACTCTTGAGAATAAAAGTGGTATCAGGGTTAAAGGAAGAGATTAGAACAAATTCAGCTTCTAGAATCCAGTCTTATTCCTTGAAGACCTCTTACTTTGCTCTGTTTCTGATTCTGTTATGTGGGACATAGAGAAAGAGCTAAGAGTCCATGGAAGTTTACAAAGTTACCTTGTGGTTTTATTCCATGAACAGTGTCTTTAGAAAGAGAGGCCTGGTACCAAGCAGCCTTGTGCGATAAACCCGAGCTTTAATTCTGCGAAGCAGATACTGTCTCCAGTACTCCAGTTCCAGCTGGGAATTTTTGGCAGGAACACCTGTTTGAGAATAAGGAATAGGTCAGGTACTGAGAAAGTACAGACCTCAAGAAAGCTTTTCTAGATGGAGGCTTTTCTTTTGATTTATTTGAAATCGTTGACTCTTCACTCTTGAGCATAAAAGTGGTATCAGGGTTAAAGGAAGAGATTAGAACAAATTCAGCTTCTAGAACCCAGTCTTACTCCTTGAAGACCTCTTACTTTGCTCTATTTCCGATTCTCTTATGTGGGA